CAATTCCGGACGGAGGGTGTGTCGTGACGTCGATGTCTGGATAAAACAGCTTCCACCCCTTAAGGTTCAGAGTTGCAGATCCCTGGCGCTCGCTTTTTTGATGAGAGTCCATGTCAAGCTGATGCCTTTGGCTTTATCAACTAGCTCTTGCTCTTTCTCACAGTCGTTCCCGTTCCTGTAAAGCATTATCTGACGTGCTGTAATGGCATCGCGCTGTCTGTTGCCTCCGTCCAGAATGGTTAGCGATTGCGTTGTTAATGGTATCTTCGTCGTTTTTTGTGGACCTTCGGCCGCTGTCGTTGTGCTGCTACGCCCTTAACTTGCAGAAGCCGAGAAGGTTCTGACCGTCGACTTTTGGCAGTTTTCCTCGGTTCCTCAACGGCCTGCATAGCGCTTGGTAATCCACAACTGCGGAACCAGTGTATCTTTCGATAAGGGCAATACAATAAGGAGCAGGTGGCTAAGTTTTCCGGGATACGTCCAGATTGATAACCTTGTGAATATCTCATGTACAGCTCCTACAAAGTTGATTTTTTTTAATAGCATATTTCTCACGGTGCATCATTTAGTTTTTAGACTCTTATTTGCATCATTATTTAGTTTTAGACCGTTTTCTGAGATGACACCTTTACTCTAACTTACCGATAAAGGGCGTAGAGTTTAGATTCTAATAAAAGTCAAGAAACTATGTAGATTACGGACGGTGGGCCACACATGACAAAAGTTTTTAGTAATAGTTGAATATCAGTTCACTTTTCACGACATGTAACGCGTTCTTGGCTAAATTGATTCTTACGCAATTCTGTTATTCACTATTGCTTAGGTCATGGAGCAAGCGATGACTGTTGGAGCGCCACTGATAGGACTGAACGATTCTGGTGGTGCACGGATTCAGGAGGGCGTTGATTCTTTGGCAGGATACTCGGATATATTCTTGGTTTGTATGGTGCTGTACTACTTTGTTGTTTGTCATGTCTGGTGTTTAGCGAAATACATTGGCGTCTGGAGTCATTCCGCAGATTTCCGTGATTATGGGCCCGTGTGCAGGTGGCGCCGTGTATTCGCCTGCACTAACTGACTTCATTTTTATGGTGCGAAATACCAGTTATCTGTTCATCACCGGACCTGAAGTGGTTAAGGTACTCACACTACTTATGTAGAAAGGATTACAAAAGCGTATGTTTACTAGGCCGTGACTAATGAAGACGTTACGCAGGAAGAACTTGGTGGTGCCAAGACGCACACAACTTTGTCAGGTAACATGTTTTCGCCAGCTGGTCGTTCCTTAGCGGATTGTTTTAGCTACTGAACGAATTATTTAATATTTTTCAGCATTTTTGGTCGTTGATCTAATGGCTAATTATAAGATATGAAATGTGCATAATCTGCCGTCGCGGATGCGGTCAAATGAATTTCAATTCAGTAACAGACAATAATTAGTTATTTTAAGAAAAGCCGTAATTCGCTTATGTTTTTCATTCTACATCCGCAGCCCTACAGCTCATAATCCATTGATTTAGGCACTGCTCAGTTCATGGTAGTAATGGAATGGTGTCAAACATGCGCCGTTTGACAGCAAAATTTCCTCATTAATTATCTCAAGTTTCATTCATGTACGATATAAATTTTGGTATTTCATTCTTTCACTGTTCGATGAAATCATGCGCGTACGTTGGATGAGTTGAATTAGATTTACATAGAAAATCGAATAGCAGCTGTTTACTATAAAAGTTGCTGAAGTTCGGGTCGAAGTAGTAAACATTTTCTGTCGGTTTATCAGGGGGTTCAGCAGGTTTAAGTTTACACATGTTGCTGTGTTATCTTGAGAAATGCTTTTCGCATTTTCAGGTGTGGCACACGAAGCGTTTGAGAACGACGTGGATGCGATGCTGAGGCTGCGTGAGTTCATGTCGTACATGCCACTGAATAACAAAGAGCCAGTTCCGGTTCGTCCATGCGACGACCCATGGTAATAACTGCTGGTGTACTTTGCCGCTAACGATTAAAGCACGATATTTTTTAGGGATCGTCTTGTTCCAAGCTTAGACACAGTAGTACCGTTGGAAAGCACTGCAGCATATAACATGTTGGACATTATTCACGACGTACCAGCTATAGTTATTTGAACGTTATTTGTGTAG